CTCGCAACGCGCCGCCCCGAGGGGAGCCCGCAGCCGCACGGAGGAAGGGAAACGCGGCTCTGACGGCGATGACGACAACCCAGCAACAGCCGCTCCGCGCGGTTGTGTCGGGGCGCTGCCGTTGTCCGCTGCGCTGCTCGGGCCCGGCAGCGCCGCGAGCCCGTGCAGGGGCCTGGCCTGATCACTAGGTCCAGTGACCCCCCCGGAGCCTTTTTAACGGCCCTTCGCTTGGTTAGCCTCCTCCGGTGGGGTGGGGGCCGCTGGCCGTCTCGGGTAGCATCTCGCTTCTGGTTGATGGCCCCGCCCGGCCGGGCCCTGCAGTCGGGTTTGAGGGCTAGTTACACGTTGCCTCGGGGGCCGGGATGTTGCCTTCAGCATGGCGACATTGCCTCAGGTGAATGTTGCCTCCAGCATGGGGACCTTGCCTTGGGGGCAGAGATGTTACCTCAGGTGGACCTTGCTTCTGGCATGGGGACGTTACCTGAGGTGCAGGGATGGTACCTCAGGTGGACCTTGCCTCCGGCATGGGGACATTGCCTCAGGTGTGGGGGAGTTGAAACCATGGCTGACCGTGACACGTGGGAGGCCCCGTCAGGATGCTGAAGGCTAGGTCTTGTGTTACAAATCTGAATGAGAAGTATGTGTCATCGTAATGACTGCAAAACTAATAAAACAATATGTTTCTGACCACTTTTGCCTTGCTTGTTGTGTATTTTGTTAATAGATTCATTTAGCAAATCCAATAAAATTGTGTTCATTTTCACTTCAGTCTTAAACTGAATTGTGCAGCCCTTGTCCCCAGTGTATTAGGAAAGCATCTAGTTTTTCTTCCCCGGGGAGAAGTGGGGGGTAGTGCCATATGTGATGTTGCATCACACCGTCTTCACCCTCTTTTTCAAAATCCTAGATCCACCCGTGACTCTGGGCTCCTGGTTGGGCATCACTGCTCTAATGTGACCATTGCGTTAGACGTGTGATTTTAAGCTGCCATGAACGTGGTCCATGGGGGCGGCGCAGAGCAGCAAAGGCACCTGAGAGATGGTACATGTAAGCCGTGACTATCTGGTTAATTGTGGGTTAAGTCATGACCTGGCCCACACGTTTGGTCAATTTGGTAGCACGATCGGACAAGGAACAAGCCATAAAGTTATTATATAAAATGTGCATAATAATTTTGTGGGTGTTCCTTGTAATGCTTTTCATTGAACGTGTTGATGGTACCCAGCCTCTGGAGTTCACGGGAGCCTGTCCAGATACCCACATGCTCCACAAGCTGGGAACACCCCTCTCCTAGCCGGGGCTCCTGGCACTGAGCACTGGGAGCCAAGCTTGCTTCTCTCTGGTACAGGAGGAGCCTGGGGTCAGGCTCATCCTGCAACAGCAATATATGGTGCCGTGCGATCCTACAATTGCATCTCCTGCCATATATGTGTGACATGGCAGGAAGTGCAATTGGGATCCCCGTATCAGATTGCATCCTACGTTTAACATTTTTCAGGGGATTAAGTTCTTGTAAGCTGCCCTGCGTCTTTTGGGGCGTAGAAACATAATAAGTAAGCCTGTGCCTGTTTTATAAGGGAGTAACTAGAGACTCTCACTTGTTTTGAACCAACTTCAGCAAATACCATCCTCCCTTTTGAGGTGTGTGGGTGTGCATGTTTCCAGAGTTGCTTCCTTGTTTGCAAAAGTGAAGGGTACTGTGATATGTGAAAGCTTGCTTGTGTCTATCCCACCTGCACACTTGGTCCAATACAAGGTGTCTCCCCCCCCCCCAATGGAGTCTTGCTTCTCAGTTTCCTGGACCATTGGGGCAACAATATCACCTGGGCACTACTGCTGCCCTGGCAGTGCTTATCCTGACCACGTCACTCCAACATCTGCGTCTGTGCAAGGGAGGAGTATGAAAACTTGTTTTGAGTCCTTTGTGAACTGCTTCACTAAAAAATCCACATTTTACACAATATATTTGCTCTTCAGATACTCTGGGGTATTCATCAAAATAGATTAGATGCACAGAGTAATCCCCCCACAGCACATTGACTCGCTATGGTGTCCACAGCGTTTTTAAACAAAATGCTTGTTATTAATCTTGTGTGAATATGCTGGTTTTATAGCAGTCGATTTAAAAACCTGTTTTCCTGCTTCAGGCAGTGTTTGCTATTGCTGGCGGAAGTTGGCTCCAGCATTAATCCTGAAACGTGACTCTAGACATGGGTGTCTGGTTGTTTTGTTTAGGTAATATCATCTGGAAAGAGAAACAGAGATTTTTATTTTATGGCTCTGAAAGGCCAAGGGGACCATTAGGAACATCCTGCCTGACACACGTCATTTCTCTTCTGATGTGCGGGAGGCTCAGTGATTTACAGTATTTGAAAATCTACTTTAGTGGTAAGGAAGAGCGAGTGAGAGCATGAGGAAGTGGACCCAGAGGGCTTGTCTGTAATGTGGGAACCATCACAGCAGGCATCTCTAAACAGGCTACAGCTGATGAATCAATCTCCTGCTCTAGCAGCCCATTGACTGGAAAGGAAGGAGAAGTCCAACGATGCTGTAGTGCTTGTGGTCATCATAGCTACTGTTGCTGCAGAGCAGGCCATGGCCTCAGCTTGCTGGTTGCTCTCTATTTAAAGAAGCTTCAGGCCTTATGCTGTTCAGGAAGCTTTTGATCCATCCCTCTGCTGCTACTTGCAAGGAGACTGCTGATTTTGGGACTCCCCTATGGGGATCGAAGACAAGGAATTTTCCTTTAGCAGCTACCATTAAAAGCAGGCGCCTTGAACAGAAGAGTTGTGTTAACTTGTGACTTAGGGATGAGACAGATTTACAGTGGTTGGACAAGTTATGCAAGTGTGTGTCGTTCTGTGAGCTACCGGAGTGATTCGGAAGGCAGGTAACTGGATGCTATACTTAGCATTACCCAGAGAAGCTACAGTGCATGGAGGATCGCAGTCAATTCTACTTGCAAACTGACTAGCTGTCAGGGACCAGACCCCTGAAGTAGTCTTGCGTAGATAAAACAGAAGTCACAACCTGTACTGGGTATTTAAAATTTTATTTGCTTTTGGCATAACCCCTCATAAAAACCACTGTAGTCTATATTTGGTTTTAGTATTCAGGCAGCACAAGTTCTGATGTATATCATCACTCATGATAACAGAAAGCAGAACAAAGCCAGCATACTTCATCTTATAGTAGAGCACAGGTGTAGTTAAACCTGCTACACTTCTATGAGAGCTAACTGCCTTGTATACTTAGGCTTCACAGCTAAAATACAATATAGGTTTAGAGTAAATGGCTACATTCACTAATCCATATAAATAGGAGTTCTACCTTGATAAAACTGGAACAGCAGTGTGCAAAAGTCAAAAGGAGTAAAAACATGTAGGTACGTTTGCAGTGTTAGAGCAACTGCCACTTAGCTGCATCTCTTGGTGTCACCAGTGTCTGTTACTGGAGCGCGCTTCCTCCTCCTCCTCTTGTTTAAAGTTCATCGCTTTCATACAGTCCTGATTCAGCAGCCAAACGCTGGAACTCCCCTTCCGGTGAGAAGGCTTGTTTTACATCCAGTCCTCTCCCATTGAGTGCTAGGTATTTGCTAAAAGTCGGCCGAACCTTCAACTTCCTGGGGTTTGGAAGTGGCTTGTGTGGGTGAGCTGGAACAGAGACACCTCATTCAGGTCCTGAGCACTGCAGTTCTCCCTGTTTTAGGAGCTTTATCAAAAAGCAAAATTCATACCCTCACATATTCTGAATCTAGAGAAGAGAAAGTTGTCCCTGAAATGAGGAACAGACAGGCAAGCTCCTTCTAACAGGAATGCTCACTTGTGTTGAGGATAGTGATTAGCCACTGGGATGACATACTGCAAAGAAACCATCCCCATTGGACAATGCCCAGATACAAATAGAAATGCCTGTTTTGAATAGTTGCACCAAAATGCACGATACATCTGTTACCTCCTTTGGAAATTCAAGGCCATAGAGTGCTCAGACCTCAACTAGGTTTGCACTCAGACTTGCTCTGACCGAAGGGGAAGCTACATTAACTCACAATGTAAGTTTTACTTACATGCAACCTCCAGCCTGGTGTGACAGGTGGCCACGCCAGCCTCGTTGACTGCAGAGACAGTGTACCAGCCAGCATCTTTTTTGTTAGCATTATGAATGAGGAGGCAAACCCTTCCAGAGGTGTCATGCAGCATGCTGAAAGATTTAGAGGGGTTTTTGTTTAAAATACATGAAAGTTGATTTAAAAGGAACGACTTATAGCTGAGAAGGCTAGAAGCCCCCAAAACACTTATTGTGATTCAGAAACAGTTTGTTGCAACAGGTAGGATGAAATCAACAATTACTTGTTTTCTTGTTAGCACTGACGTCTGAATCAGGGCTCCTTCCTGATATCCAACCTAACTTTCCCTTGCTGCAACTTGAGCCCATTGCTTCTTGTTTTGTCATCTGCCACCACTGAGAACAGTCCAGCTCCATCCACTTTGCAACCCCCCTGTAGGTAGTTAAAGGCTGCTATCAAATCCCCCCCCAGTCTTCTCTTCTCCAGACTAAATAAACCTGTTCCCTCAGCCTCTCCTCCTCCTCACAAGTCATGTGCCCCAACCCCCTAACCAGTTTTGCTGCCCTCCACTGCACTCTCTCCAACTTGTCCACATCCCACATAGTGGGGGAGGGGTGTGTGCTAAAACTGGACAATACTCCAGATGTGTCCTCACCAGTGCAGAATAGAGAGAGGGAAATAATTACTTCCCTTGATCTGCTGGCAATGCTCTTGATTGCGCTGTTAGCCTTCTTGGCAACCAGGGCACACTGTTGACTCATAACCAACTTATTGTCCACTGTAACCCCAGGGTCCTTTTCTGCAGAGCTGCTGCTTAGCCAGTTGGTCCTAAGCCTGTAGCAGTGCATGGGATTCCTCCATCGTAATTGCAGGACCTTGCACTTGTCTTTGTCCAGCCTTTTAGGTATCACATCATTCAACCTTTAGATATCAGGTTGTCTTTTTAGATACCATGTCATTTACATTTTGCATTAAGATATACTGGCTATATCTCTAACACGACAATGGCCAACTCATTAGGAGGATACCTTATTCGGTCTGCATTAAATTGTACCATTTCATTGTTTTTTTTCCAGTAAATCCGTGGGGTGGGGATGGCAGAGATCTGACATTCCAATCTGGCCGTATCTCCTTCATAAACTTTTTTGCTTTGTGGTTTGAAGATGAAAGTTGGAGGTCTCTGATGTTGTTTTGCTAAATGAGAAGAGAAAGTGGTAGTAACTGTTTTACACTGGCAGACATTTATCCTATCCTCCTTTGGAGGGTACATGCCATGTATGTTGCTACCCTGGCCTTCAGGTGCCTAGACATCAGCATTTTAACAAGCAATATTCTTCTTTGGATGGGAGGTTGGGGGGGTGGGGGCGAGGGTCACCGCCCAGTTCATGAATAAAAGTCTTGATGAAGCCTAGGATAAGACCCAAGAGGTGTCCAGAGACCACTACCCAGAATCTGTGCATGCATCTCAAAGCTTGAGGCAGGAGATATACCCCTCCAACTGCCATTTGAGTTGGGTCTTAAATTTCAGCAGTGTTCTCCATCTCAAATAGTCTTGCCCCACTAACATGAGAGGCAATACAACCAGTAGTTCAGGTAGAGTTAAAATGACAGATGGCTTTCCTCAGCTATGACTCTGGCCGCTTTGGGAAGGTACAGTCTTTCACCCGGCTGTTAGTGGATTAAGTCACTTTGATGGTGGTGGGGGGATGCATAATGTATTTTATGAAGGGCACTAATTTTGCCATTCTTAGCTGCAAACCTGAGATAACAGACATCCAGGCTGGTGCCCTTTTCCTTCCCTGCATGCTTATCATTGGTCAGTGTTCCTGTTTGAAGTCAGAGGCAAAAATGCCATTTCCTTCACCAGGAGCATGGTTAGAAAGGTGGTGAGCACTTGGGAAGAACCTTCCGTCCTGAGTTCAAAGACTTGGTTGTAGTTCTTTCATAGTTTCATAGTTTCTAGGGTCGGAAGGGACCTGAGCAGATCATCTAGTCCGACCCCCTGCCATGGCAGGAAGAGCACTGGGGTCAAATGACCCCAGTAAGGTGGTCATCCAACCTCCTCTTAAAAACCCCCAGGGTGGGAGCCTGCCTGGACATCAAGAAGCAGGCAGAAAAGCCCTGCAGGCACTGAAAGCATCAGCTTTCCTGAGTCTGATGCTCTTGGTGCATGCAGAAGGCACTGGCCTTTCAGGAATGCACAGCTGGAAAGTTTCCTTCCCCTCCAGGGTGTCGCCCAAGCCATATGTCTTACCAATTACATCCAGCTTTACTGTGAAAGCAGCTTCTCCAGCACGATTGGTGGCTACGCATTCATATGTCCCTGTGTCAGAGGCTCTGATCACTTCAAAAATGAACGAGTGGAAGCCCTTTTCAGATACTATCATTTTATGAAATTCATCTGGGTGAACCAGCCTTCCATTTAAATACCAGTTCACATCTGGAGTTGGTAGCCCACTAACCTGTAAAGGGGGAAGAAACAAGACATGAGCAAACAGGAAGAAGGACCTAAGGATATGCAATCATTGATGTTCCTACATTTAAGAAAATCCCTTCCTAAAG